CTCCAAGGGCCTAAAATCCTTGTCGAAGTTCATACCGTAATCCTACAGTAATGGAGAACGATAGATGATTCGCTCTATACTGTGAGTCTAAGTTTGACCTCGCCCTACAAAGCGGTACCTAAAGCTTTTTGGAACATTTCATTACAAGAGAGTTATTCACAATCAAACAATAGGCACATTTTTTTGGGACACCCTGTATATGTGCAGACTATCGCTCACAGATCGTTAAGATAGGCAAGAGTTCCGTTGTTATTGATACGAATTCATGTTTGTTGTTCATGCTAGAATTTCTAAGGGAAATCCACGCTGCCTCAACGTTTTCCTCACTGTACTCTCTGCCTCGTATGACAAAATAGTGCACTTGACGTCAAATTCACCGCCGTTGTGCGTTTCTATTCTGTGTCTTCCCAACGGTGACATTACACTTGCTCGTCTTTTTGCAGCTAGATGCTCCTTAAGTCTAACATTCAGCAATCTACCCGTTTCGATATATGTCGCCTTGCAGTTCAAGCACTCCAATTCATGCACTACTCCTGCCTTCGCGCAATTACCTACTTTTCCGTATGGGCAGACAATATATTGCTCTCATAGACATTCTGCGTCATAGAGCCTGTTCCTTACCAACTGCTTCTTGATGTTCTCATCCGGAATGTTTACAAGCATAACATCATTTTGCAATTGTGCTCGCCTTGAACATTGTTTAATTGCTGCACTGAATTTATCGGAAATGAAAGGCATACACAAGGGCACCTGTTATCCTGAGCGTGGCTACTGTTCGCAAAATTGGAAGCGCAGCTTAAACGTTGTGGCAAGTAACCATTGCTAGGCGCAATTTGTGTAGCCATGGAGAAGCAGTTGGTAAGGAACAGGCTCTATGACGCAGAATGTCTATCAGAGCAATATATTGTCTGCCCATACGGAAAAGTAGGTGGTTGCGCGAAGGCAGGAGTAGTGCATGAATTGGAGTGCTTGAACTGCAAGGCGACATATATCGAAACGGGTAGATTGCTGAATGTTAGACTTAAGGAGCATCTAGCTGCAAAAAGACGAGCAAGTGTAATGTCACCGTTGGGAAGACACAGATTAGAAACGCACAACGGCGGTGAATTTGACGTCAAGTGCACTATTTTGTCATACGAGGCAGAGAGTACAGTGAGGAAAACGTTGAGGCAGCGTGGATTTCCCTTAGAAATTCTAGCATGAACAACAAAAATGAATGCGTATCAATAACAGCCGAACTCTTGCCTATCTTAACGATCTTTGAGTCTGCACATATACAGAGTGTCCCAAAAAGATGTGCACACTGTTTGACCGTTAATAACTCTCTTGCTTTCATGTCCTTTGCCGAGCTTGAGGTACCATTCTGCACAGCGAGGATAAACTTAGATTTACAGT